GTGCCCTGGGCAACCCCCGGCACACTGAGGCCTCCCCAGCCCCTGCCTCCTTCTCAGGGGCTGTTGGCCTCCGGCCAGGCTGGCAGGTAAGTCCTGCCCACGGCAGAAGCAGGACAGTGGCCTCATCGCGCGGCCTCGCCGGGCTGCACCGGCTCCGCCTCCGCCTGGGGCTGCTCCAGGGTTGTGAGGAGGTGCCCGAGCACACAGAGATCTGTGCAAGGAGAGGGGAGCCCCCCCCCCGTCCCCGACGCCCTCCAGGCTGAGTGGCTCCCCCGCCCTCGCCCACGGTGCAGGTCCCATCCTCTTTACTACCGGTGATCCCTTTAAATGGTTTCCTCCGGATTTTGCAACTTACGTTTCCTCACGGCGTAGGGCGTCGGCAGGAAGCCCAGCACGGACGTGGGGCGTGAGTCAGGAGGTGCCCGGCCGTGGGGGGAGGCTGGACGCATGCAGCGGGGAGGCCGCGGCCCCTCAGCACCGTGGACAGCGCTGGGCAGCCTGTCTGGCCGCCCTGTCCGGCCCAGGGAGGGAGGTGGGGCCCAGGACAGCGCCCGAGAGCGCCGGGGCCCTGCTGTCCGCTCCGGCCTGGGACCTGCGGTGTGGCACCCTTTCTGCCGTGAGGTTTGCCCCGGAGTTGCCTTGTCAAGTGCTGTCCTGTGACTTGACAGTTACTGATCAGCAGCGGGGACCCTGGGCTCCCCACCCGCCCGGCCCCCCGGGACCACGCCCCGGGGCGTCCTCAGCTCGGGGGCAGACATGTCCAGGACGCAGTTATGTTTCCAACCCTGATGTCGCGACGTGTCCTCTGCTGGCGCGAACGGAATCCGCGTCCGCGTAACCACGACGTCGTGCCTCCCAGAGGCCCTGCGAGGCCCAGGACGCTGGCACAGGTGCCGGATCGCAGCGGGTGGGGGCGCGTGCCGACGCGGCCTGTGCCCCGGGCCACCGGGCTTCCCGCGTCCCCAGCGCCGCGCCCTCCCCACCAGACACACACGCACTTGGTTGCAGGTGAGGTGCCCCAGGCATCCCTTCTTCCAGAAGCTTCCCCTGGCCACCCCGCCCTGCCCTCCGTCCCTCCCAGTCCCCGTGCTGCCTCCACGGGGTGGCCTCCTCGTCTGGGTTCCCCGGCTCCCCGGGCCCAGGGCCGGGGGCTGTGGGAGGCAGAGCCCCCCTCCCTGGGACCCACGTTTGGGACCAGACTGGGCCCCACGTGCTTCTCGGGAAGCGTCACTTCTGAGCTCCGGGCAGGTCCCGCTGGCCCCCTCTCCTCTCATCCAGGCCCTGCCCAGGCCGGCCCCGCCCGTCTGCGCGCCCCTCGTGTTCGTCCCCCGCCGGTGACACGTGGGACTGTCAGCTACCAGCCTCGCGTGCCCCTGCCAGGGCCTCTCCGAGTCCCTTCTGCCCTCCGGCCGGTCAGATGTCCTTGTAGATTTGGGTCATCGCCCAGGGATTTAACGGCTTGTCTGTGGCGCCCCGAGAGCACAGGGCGCTGCACGGGTGGGGGGCCCAGGCCGGACCAGACCGCCCCAAGCCACCCGCCCCCGCCTGCCCGGCGTCCTCAGGGCGCCGGTCCCCAGAGCCGCCCTCTGCCGCGCCGCCTGTCGGAGCCGAAGGGTCGGAGCGAAGGGTCCGGGGCAGAGGGACGCATCCGGCACAGCTTGCATTTAAGACACTGTCTTGCTGGTCGCGACCCCTGTTTGGGGACCAGGTGGGCGTCCTGAGGGGCCGGTGTCCGCACTCAGCCTGCGTCCCCAGTCTGGCTCAGGGAGTCAGCCGAGTGTGACAGGGCATCACTCAGCACACAGCAGCCGCGCCGGCCCGTCGGCCTCGGCGCTGGGCCCTGCCACCTGGGGCCTGCTGGTGTGGCCGCGGGGACGTCCGGCCGAGGCCCAGCGCCCCGAATCCTGAGCCCCCGGGGGCGCGACCTGGCCCCTGGGGGCGGGTTCTGTGAGACCTGCCGACACAGGCCGACGGGCACGCTGGCCCGTGGCGGTCAGGGAAGCCGGCGTGGCCCTCGTCTCGTCCGGCTCGGCGGCGGCCTGGGGCCCCAGGTGACGGAGGCAACCCGACCGCGGCCCTGGCTCCTCCCGGCGAGTGTCCTGACTGTGGGGGCGGGTCATCCTGTCCCCGCTGCCACCTTGGCCGGGAGCTGCCGGGACCTGTCCCCCCGCTGTGGCCGGGCTGGCTCTGCCGCCTGCTCTGAGCCCCTGGCTCCTCTTCAGGACGAGGGGGAGACGGCTGAGCTCTGTTTGGCCCACACTGGGAGGCGCTCAGCATCCTACGCAGTGCGGACAGACGGGCAGACGGACAGGCCCCTTGAGGGAGAGCTTTGCGGCGCCCGAAGCAGGCGGCTGCCCTCCGCGTCCCGCTCAGCGGGGGCCGGGACCCAGATTCGGCGCCGGGCTCCCCGGAGGCAGCAGACGGCCCGGGCGGGGCGGGCAGGGCATGGAAGCTGCCTCGTACCCAGCCGGTTCTCCTTGACATTGAGCGTCTGCGCAGCTTGGAGTGACCGCCTGTGTGGCACCTGATCCCATCTTCCGCGGGTGACCTGCCACTGAGTGGCTGAGGACGCCGCCTCTTCCCAGCCCCCCGGGGGCTCGGGTTTCTCTGTGCCTCTATTTCGGGCCGGTCTGCTGCCACCCTCTCCCACCCCTGCCCTTCACGGTGGACATGTGCGTCCAGGCCCAGCCTGAGGACAAGGTCCCTGCGCAGGGCGGGGAGGATGTGGAGGCCGCCCGGGGCGGGGTGCAAGGGGCAGCCCGTCCGCAGAGCCCCCCAGCACCCGGCACGGAGGGCAAAAGTAAGAGGGGCCCGGAGGGGGGCAGCCGCGCCGCCATGGGAGCGCCGCGGGTGTGGAGGGGCAGCGGGGGGCTGGCGTGGCATCCCAGCTGGAGCCCGAGCCTTGTCAGCCAGTGACCAACGGATAAACGAGAGCCGCAACGTCCCGAGCGCAGCTGCGCACCTCGCCCTCGGGGCGTGGGGGCTCCCCCAGGCCGGCGCCTCCCTGCTGGCTCTCAGAGGCCGCTTTGTACCCCTGTAAGCAGCACGGTGTCCCCGCGAAGGTGCCCTCGGGCCCTCGCTCCCGCCCGCGGATGGGGCTGCGTGTGGGACGAGGGTACTCGCCACTGCGGCCCCGGGGAAGCCACGTCGCCAGGGCGCACCCGACGCCAGGGCGGGCCGCTCGGCGCCTGCTCCCCGTCACATCTCGGGGCGCCGGGCGGTCTTGCCGTGTCACACCCAGGCCCACAGGCCCACCGGGTGCGGCCCAGAATCCCCGTCCCCAGGGAGGGCGGGACGAGCTGACAGCTGCGGGCTGGGGGGCCACCTGCGTGGGGGCGCCCTGGACGAGGACCCCCGCCGTGCCCAGCCACCGCTTCCCGACGGGGTGCAGCCCGGGAGGTGGCCGTGTCCGGCGCAGGAGGGCCTCCCGGCTGAGTGGGCGCCGATGCTGCAACACCGGTCCCTTCGTGCCTTCGTGGGGGAGGGGACGCGGGGCTGGCTGGCTGCTTAGTTACTTAGCGACCAGGGCCCACGGTGCCCCAGGAGACGCAGCCCGCCGGCCGCAGGTGTCTGTGGGTGGGCGGCAGCGACGGCCAGGAATAGCAGAACAGCCCGTGGCCCAAGGAGCTCCCACAGCAGCCCGGGCGGCGCCCACGCCGCTGCCCGCCGGTCGAGGTGTCACCAGCCCCTCCCCTGCGACAGTGGACCCCCCCCCCCCAGACCCAGGGCGACCTGCCCTCAGGTCCCTGAGGCTCTAACTACTACTGTCACCCGACGCACGGCACCTCGCTGCCCCGGACACTTCCCTGGGCTACGTTTGCTTATCTGGTTATTTATTTATGTGTCTCTTTATTTTTGCCCTGTTCTCAGCACAGCGTGTAGCCTTGTGTGTAATTAAGCCGCGGGAGTCGGAACCTGCAGGGCAGCCTCAGGCCCGCCCGGGCGTCGGCCGCCCGTGGGGGAGGGGCCGCCTTTCGGAGGCGGGGTCCTGGGCCCACCACGTGCCGTCCACACGCACGGCGCCCCAGCCCCCGGCCCAGCGTGGGTTTTCTGGGGAGACTGGCGTCTTGGGGAGCGGAGGGCCGTCCCTGTGCTGGGAGACTGGCCCCTTTCACAGCGGATGGGTCCCCTCTCTGCACACTGGTCCCAGAGCCAGACCAAGGCTGCGGGGCTTGTCCCCGCCCTCCAGTGTCCTGGGGTGGCCGGAAACAGGGCAGGGACAGTGTCCGCCTGGGGCAGCAGGGGCGGCAGGCACGTCCAGGTCGCCTGTGTGCACGTGTGTCTGCACAAGTCATGTGTATTCTGAGCATTTCCATGGTGTATGCATGGGTCACGTGTGCAGTCTGTGAGCACCTGTGTGTGGACGCGCACTTGCCGGCAGGGGACACGCGCACCGTGTATGCGGGGGCCTCCGTGTGTAGCTGTGCACCTCGGCCTCACCGTGTCCGTGCCTGGGCCCCACCTGTGTGGACCCGTGTCAGGTGTGCTCCCTGTCCTCCCGCGCTCCCCGTGCAGCTCCTGAGCACGTGTGCGTCTCCTGAGCACGTGTGTGGCAGCAGCCCGTGGGGGCAAGGAGGCCTGGACGGCCTTCCGTGGAGGGTCCATGCTGCCTCCCCCGCCCCCACCGGCGTCGACACGGGGGGCCCAGGCCCCGCTCGGGCTCAGCCTGCGTGCGCGGTGCAGCCGAGGGTCCCTGCATCAAGCTGCCTGGGGGCCTCCTCCGCGGTGCGGCCCTTCACATCCAGGTGACGGTGACGAGGCCACATTTAAGTTCCTGCCGGTCCAGGCGGGCCGTAGACACCGTAACCGTGCAGCTCGGAGCCTGCCGGGGGCTGGGCCCGGGGGTGGGCGGCCGCAGCTACTGCCGGGCGTGTTTCCGACAGCGTCACCTGGGCGGCCGAGGACAGCGGCCTCCGTGGGCCCCTCTGCTGGGCGGGCGTGGGCGTGCGTCCAGCCGCATGGCCCGGCCACTCAGCGCCCCGTGGGTGTCTCTCTTGCAGGTCAGCTGGCCGCCGGCACCTGTGAGATTGTGACCCTGGACCGGGACAGCAGCCAGCCCCGGAGGACGATCGCCCGGCAGACAGCCCGCTGTGCCTGCAGGAAAGGGCAGATCGCCGGCACCACGAGAGCCCGGCCCGCCTGCGTGGATGGTAAGAGCCCGCGGCCCCGGGAGGTCGCTGCGGCCGCATGTGGGGCGTCTGCCTGAGGCAGCCACGCCGCCCTCCCAAGAACGCGCTCTGGGTCAGGCCCCAGGCTGGACAGTCTCGTCTGGCTCACTGGGTCCTGCGGGGGGCGGTGGCCTGTGCGCGGGGGGCGTGTCCCGGGTGCGGCCGCGTGGCGGGGAGCCGGGCCCCAGCGAGCGAGCGGGGCTGCCTTGGGCAGAGGGGAGCGCAGGGTGTCCATCGCTCGTCATCTCCGGCTCTTCCCTGTCTGGTGTGTGGTGTGGCTGGCGTCCGGCGCGCCCAGGCCCCGTGCGCGGCTCCTGGGCTGTGAGGACAGCGCGGTGGGCGGGGCCTCAGGAAGAGGGGCGGCCCCGCGGGCGAGAGGCGCAGGGTGGCGGCCTCGCTGATGGACGTGGGCGGGGCCTCAGGCGTCTGTGGGAGGAGGGGCCCCTGCAGCCGCTGTCCGGGCGTCGACGCCAGTCTGCGCGCTGTGGCGAGGGCTGCACCCCGTGCGGGCGCCCCGGCTGCTCGGGTGCCGAGGGCTGGGAGCCACGTGGGGAGGCACCGGCCACCTGGGTGGGGCGACAAAGGCCCCCGGGAGGGATCAGGGGAGCCTCGGGCCACCTCGAGAGTGGGGACTCGCCAGACCGCGGCAGCTTGCCAGTGTCACCTGCGAACGTGGCCTGGGGCTGTGGATGTGACCGGGCCGGGAGCCGGCCTGGGCTGTGCTGGGAACGCGGCCCTGGGCTGCCCTGGTGGAGGTGGTGCCCGCGGTACCCGGTGCCCGCACAAAGTCCCAGGCCGGCCTCACTTCCCCACGGTCCCCACAGCCAGGTGCCACCGGCCCGGAAGGGTCACCCGGGAGCCCGTGGAGAAGCACACCTTGCCCGGGGGTGAGGAACGTCCTCAGGACTGGGGGTGCGTCCCCGCGGCTGGGTTTGTTTCCTTTTCCTTTGATGACCCTGTGGCAGCCAGGTCGGCTCCGAACGGCACGTGACCGTCAGGCGTGCGGCGTGGCCCTTCATTCTCTGGCTGCTCCACTGCGTGCTCGCCTGCCACGGTCCGTGTTCCTTCCACGACCGGCGCAGCCACCGTGGGGCAGGCTCTGCTGCTCTGCAGACACCGCCGGCCTCATTAAAATCCCCCCGCCACACCCATCCGTCAGCACTCCGCGCCGAGGGTGCGTGAGGACACAGCCCGCGTGCGGCCCGCAGCCCCCGGACGCCAGAACCTGCCCTGCCTGCCGCATTCCGCGGTCAGTGTGGCCCGGGGGGCGGCCGTCTCGGTTCCCGGCGAGCTGCATTAATTCTCGCCACGTCCCGCCCGCGTCGCCGGCTCCGGTAATTGCCGCAGGCTCACCCTCTATGGCAGGAGCGCCGGGGCCGAGCTGATTGATCCTTCCCCGGTCAGGCGGGAGCGAGGCACGCAGGCCAGCCCGCGGAGCCGCCGTTCCCTCCTCCGTCCTCATTAGCTCCGGGGGCCGCGGGAGAGGGGGTCGCAGTTGATTACTAATTGAATCCGAGTCTGCTCATCCGAAACCCCGGCCTCTCCCCCTCCCCGGAGCCGGCCGGGGCCCCAGCTGCCGGGGCCCAGAGACCCAAATTAAAACCTGGCCGTATTCAAGGGAGGGTGGACAAATTAGTCCGCTCGCGCTTTTTGCACAGTGGGCACTTTCCAAGGCTGCTACCTAATTTAATTTTTGCTTTTCTGTTTTCTTGTGCTGTGTGCATAATAAGTTGACTCGCGTGCGGGCTGGGGCTGCTACAGAGCAAGCCTGGGCCCTGCTGGGCGGGGTGGCACCTCACGCGAGCGGGGCGTACGCCAGGCGGCTCCGGCTGACCCCGCTGCGTCCGGTCAATGTGTGAGCAGGGCACAGCTGCTCCGGTAATTGGCTCATCGCTCATTCATTAGCTAACTCACTTGTTCATTAATTCACATGAGGTGCATGCTCGTGGGGGCAGGGAAGGTGTGAGCGGAGGCTGTTCCTAAAATACCTGATCCCCCAGCAGGCGTGGCCTTGGCGCCGGGGCCACCTTGCAGGGCAGGGGCTGTGGGACCCCGGGGCTCAGCCGCTTCTTCCTGCCCAGGACCCCAGAGACACTGCGTGCAGGAGGGAGCGGTTCAGTAGGGTGCTGAGGGATGAAGAGGAGCTCGCCAGGAAAGCGTCGCTTCCTGAAAGGGCGGGCCGGTGGTAGGAGGGAACCTCCTTGTCGCGTCCCCAAACCCGAAGCATTTTGGGTGAACCATTCCCCAGCCCGTGCGCAGTGGACCGGTGCTGTTGCAACTTGGAGACGGTCGGGAACGAGGCTCCCCGGCCCCCCTGCCGCCCGCCCCGTGAGGAAGAGCCTCTGACCATCAGGCAGGATGTGGGGAGGGCAGTAGGGGGCAAACTTTTTCGGGAACAGCTTTTATGTAGGTCAGCGATTGGTAGGGCGTGTATTTGCGTGGGTTTAGAAACACGTGCGTGTCCCCAGTGCCGCTGCACGGCCTCCGCTCTGAGCGTCGGGCAGAGGCAGCAGAAGGCAGGAGAAGGCGCAGCCCGCCGGCCACCTGTGCCAGCAGCAACCTCCTCAAGGGGGCGTCTCGGGCTCGCGGCCGGCGGCAGGCCCGCCCCGGGCGGACTACAGCCGGCTGCGGTCACGAGCGAGAGTCACAATGAGACGTTCAGAAATTCAGTGAGCTCACTGTCACATGCGGCCAGAAATTAAATGACGTGAACTGCCCTGTCATCAAAGGACGTTAGTATCAAAGGCGCCCACCTGAAGACGCTCGGACGACAAGAGCCAGCCGAGCCCGAATCAGCGGCAGGAGGGATTAGAATGGAAACAAAGGAAACGGAGCACAGAAGACCCACGCGTATCAACCGAACCAAAAGTCAGCTCTTTGAAAGGCGAACCAAGTGGGCCGAGGTGCAGCAGGGCTGGTGGGAGGGGCGCGGGGGGGCCTGGCCCAGGGAGGAAGGGCAGACCCCTCTGGATGGCCTGCTCCCGGGACACGCCAGGGGATTCGAAGGGTCCTGCCAGCTCCTGTGCCGAAATAGCGCCTCAGTCGGATGGACGGACGGACGGACGGACGGACGCGTCCCTCCAAACCCACAAAGCGACTCAGGAGGAAATAGAAAGTCCGAACAGACCTGTGACGAGTAAAGACTGAGTGACGCGGTGACTTCCCCGCCAGAAGAACCCGAGCCGGGCGGCCGCCCTGGGGAGCCCCCACACCTCAAGAAGCGTGAACCCCAGTCCTCCTCCGATTCTCCCAAAGAAACAGAAGGCGAAGCCCTTTGGAATGCAGGCTGTGGCCAGCGTCGCGTGCTGGCAGGTGTCGACGGAGGCAGCGCGAGAAAACCTCGGGTCTTAAGAACGTCAACCCCAAAACCCTCCGCAAAGCTCCCGCGAGTGGAATCCAGCCGCCGAGGGACACGGTCGCCCGTCCTGACCAAGTGGCCTTGCCTCCAGGGTGCAAGGCCGAGTCGCCACAGGAAAGCCCGCGCGTACGGTATTAACAGAATGAAGAGCAGATCCACACCCTCACCTCAATAGCTGCAGACTAAGCATTCGCGGAGCCCCACGCTTTTTCCCAACAAAAACGCAGCACGCGAGGGGAAGAAGAGCGCGCAGCGTGACTCAGGGTTTCGGGGACCCGGCGGGCCACGTCGTGCCCAGCGGACGAGCACCAGTGCTTCCGCCCCAAGATTGGGGACAGGCTCTCTGCGCCCCGCACTGCTGGTCCGCTGGGCCCAGGGGGCGGAGCGGAGCGGAGCGGCTGGGCGGGGAAACGAATCGAAGCCGCGCTGGTTGAAAAGGAAGACTCTCCCCAGATGGCACGGCCATCGATGAAGAGCATCTCGCGGGGGTCCACGCACGGACCTAGTGAAGGAGGTGGGGAGGTGCCGGTGCGTGAGCCGTGTGCAGAATCGGCCGCCGTTCTCCACAGGGGTCGCAAATGACCTGAGGAAGCGATTCCATTTACAGCAGCCTCAGAAAGAAGAAAATGTCCAAGAACAGATGGAACAAGAGACGCGTCCGCCTCACACGTGAAACGGGGCTGAAACAGCCGGGGCAGGGTTCGCCTGAGCGCCCTCTCCTGCCCGGCCAGCTCGAGGCCACCTCCCCCCGATGCTGTTGTCCTGCCAGCCCACCGGGGGCCCGGGGGCGGGACGGCCTCACTCCTGCAGGGTCCCCAGCACACGGCCCACCGCCCGGGCCGTGACAGGTGCCTGGCACCACCTGCCGCTGAGTCCTGACACCCACGTGACACCTGGCCACCTAACAGCTGCTGGAGCCAGTGGGCCTGGGGGCCCGAGCTCTCGTACCCGAGGGGCGCTGTCCAGGTTCTTAACAATCACTTGAAGTGTCGGGAACACGCTGTGCTAATAAGGCCGCCTCCCTCTTCTTGCACATTTTAATCAGCTTCTGAGAGTCATCAGCTTGTGCGAGAAGAAATGTGCTGGAGATGTCTTTCAGGGAATTCTCTCCAGGAACCCGGGCGCTGCCGCGCCCAGCGTGGGGTGGGGCCCGCGAGCGCTGATGGCGACCTTAGCGGGGACGCTCCTGACTTGGCTCGGGGACGGGGGTGGGGGCTCTGCGCTGGACGCTGGCCCTGCAGGCCCCTCCGCCCCGCCCCGCCCCCGTAGCTCGGGGCCATCACTGAAGTCCCCGGTGGGGGCGGTGAGGTCTGTCACACGACCTCCTTCCTCGGGGAGCCCCCGGCTCTGCCCTCTGACTCGGTCTGTCCCGGGGCTCCGGGTGAGTGGGGAGATGACCCCGTGCGCCCTGGCCCGGCTTGGGGACCCTGCCTGGGTGTCCCCGGGACGACCCGCGCCCTCCCAGCCGCGTCCAGGCTGAGGCCCAGGCAAGGGGTCCCGTGCTCTCAGCAGGTCAGATCCTTCTTCCTGGGGAGTCGGCTCGGCACCGGAGCAGCCCCAGTGGGGGGCCAGGCCGGAAGTGGGGGGAGGTCTCCTGCCCCGCTCTTAACCGGGGGCCCCGCTG